CCGAACAGTACTACGATTAAGATGATCCTCAGACCTTTTAGATGCATGGCCACAAACACATGCATGTTTTTTTTTTTTTTTTTTCAAACCTAACAACATTTCTTAGTTCATAATTTATGTTCATATATTGAGGTCATATTGTGGCCTAGCTATAATTTATCAAGTGTTTTTTTTTTTTTTTCTCAAGTTTGTTCTACTATTGAAATTGAGGATAGACCAAACCCTCCTCACACTTCTGTTATTTTTTCTCCTGTTGTTGTTATTTTATAACGGAGTTATCACTTATCTCACCTAGGCCTAATGTAAAGGGCATTCGAGATATTGTTAAAAGAAAAGCAATATTTTTGTTTTGCAAAGAAATGAAGGCAGATTTTTTTTTTTTACAAGAATCCCACTCAAGTGCAGAAGTGCAGATATCTGGTTAGCACATGGAAATAATCATTCAGCTGGTGTGAGCACTTTGAAAGGCAGCTTTAGAGGGAAAGTTCTTTGTAACAAATGTGATGTGTAAGGGCATTGGGTAATTATAGTTATTGAAACTGACAGTAATTTGTTTATATTATGCAATGTTTATGGATACAACTCTTCTTCTTTGAATTGTGATTTGTTAGACACAATAGAAGAAAATGTCAAAATTCTCTCAACTAAATTTCCAATGGCAAAGATTTTAATATGGTTCATGATAATGTTGGTAGCTCCAGTTATGGATGATTCAGCTGTGGGTGCCATCTTCTGGTCAGATGCGGGAATTCATTTGGCACGACCCTCACAGTGCATTATGGGTATTATCTAGCCGGTGAGTGTACGGCTACGTCCGAAAACTTAAAAATGTTGCCTTCGGAGGATGGAAGGGAAGAAGGCATCAAGGCACGTCTGAATCCAATGTTAGCTTCACTTCCTGTCTCCTTAGATACCATCATCTGATTTTTGAAGGCAGCATGTATTCTTTGCTGCCTCTGATATCCCACAATCCTGTGCTTTCCATTCTGTGACAGTTGAGCTAAAAAAAAAAATATGGCATCTGAAAGTTGTAGTTGGTGGTCAGTTTGTGCAAATGCACGTTTTTGACCAATGTATTATACTTCTGATGTAATTTCTTGAGAGAAATAATTTTATTAATTAAATATATGCTTAAAGCTTTCTCTATTTTGTTGTAGATCATTAAACCGTTACGCTGCCTCAGAAGTCTTTCCAAAATCAGTTTCATGATATTTGTGCGCAAATGCCGCCTACAAAGACATTGCCTGATAAGGCAGCGCAGCAACAACTCAGCCCTAAGTTTTTGGACAGGTTGCAGGCTACACTCGTTATTGCGGTGCATTATGGGATTGAATGAGGGCACTTGATAATGTCCATGTGGCCTGTCCAAATACCACACTAATACCCATTTGTTATCGTGTTCTGGGGGGTGGGCCCCTTGATTGAAATCGTGGGGAGCTTGGAAATGTAACCAGTCTAAATGTGAACATACTTTTGGAAATGGAAGTGATCCAGATGTAACTGAATGAAAGAAAGTAGTGTTTTAGGGAAGGGAATGGATATTGTAAATGTTCATTAATGTTATAATGTACTTGCCTGTCCTTGAAATGTGTGTCAGAAGAAGGTATAACTTTAAGAGTTGAAAAGCAGACAGTGTATACATGAAATGTAGTGCTCAGTACAAGTGTACAAGCGAGTGTTTTGAGTGTGCACTGAGAGTACATTCAAATGGAAACAGACAATGTCACACTGAGGGTCAGCAACTAGACATCACACACTTGCAGTTTAAAGTAGTTGGAGTCAAAAACCTAAAGTTGAAAAGCTTCAGGGCATGTCTAGCTTCAGGCCAATAAACTATTGTTTGAAGTTGTGTCAAAAATAATTGGACTGTTGAGGCAATTCAACCCATAATAATGAGCTAAACTAAATTTTCTCTTGTCACACTGAAGTAATTAACAAAAAAAAAGATCATTTAAATTGACAGTGCTGAGACTTAAAGATGCTGAAACCCTCTTTTTAAGTTGAGTGGTTTCGCTCTGAAGCAACAAATGAATGTGTTCTCATCACACAGGCTGAATAATGCAAGAACATAGACTTCTGTCAAAAGTGTCGGCCTCTGAGGTCGGGGCCCCTAGAAACGTCACCACCTTTAGCCCCACTAGCGACGGCCCTGAAAGAAACGGTATGAATTGAAATGACTCTTTGCGTTTTTGTCAAACCACAAAGAGAAAACCACACAGAACACAACATCTCGTCTTTGTTCAAGTCAAGAGTAGTCCGTCCAAAACTGGCACTGGAACAGTGGAACTGGGACAGTGACACAGAAGTGCTTCTGAAGTGGCATTTAGTACACAGTCTGCTTAATGGTGCTCAAAGATGGCATAATGCATTAGCACAGCAATTACAACAGTATTATTTGATACTAGGCACAATTTATTCTGGCTTTTTTGTGGCATTGCATGTACATTTAATTTTGAGAATGCACTGGGCAACTATGTACTAAACTGAAGTGGTTCAGGCTGATAGGTACCAAGATTACATGGGGCTGTACTGTATTATACATCTCTATATTTTTTACATCACGAAAATTGATTATCTGTAAATAATAAGGTAAGAGGCCATGCTATATTGTTACAGTCACGGAAAAAAGAGCGTTATAGCACAGCGTGGATCGGAACATGTGGGCTACAGCACATGTTGAGTACCTTATTGCTTTTATTAAATGGTTACCACACAATACAAACATTAAAGCCATAAATATATGCATAATGCTACCTTTAAAAAAAAAAGTAAAATCATTAAATGCCATCCTTCTGCTAAAAATAGTCCCTGACATTGACAGTAAACCGCAAGATAATGTTTCTAGTAGGCCACATCCGATGGAGCTCAAATTAAAACCGAGACTAGGAACAGTTGTTGTGTGTTGTAATTATTTTTTAACACAATATATGATGAGCCTATATTTCCTTACAAACATCTGCTTATCTTTTAGCATGAGAAAACGTCTCTTGCATCAAATAGGATGAATGGTGTGCGAATTGGGATGCTAATTTTATCTGCATTTAACTGCAAATATTAGTAATAATAATAAACCTGGCTACTTTTGCTTCATCTCTTCTTATAGAGACCAGGCAGGAAGGTACAACATGTTACTTTTTTATTAATTGATTACATGCCATTCTCACAATGGCAGTAAATTATACAAAATGCATTTATTCTCCATATACTTCTTTTTTTATCTTTTTCCTTTCTTAAAACGCCTACTGCTTCTATACATTCAGAAGGTCTTCCAGGTTTGTGGAATTGCAAACACAGACCAGTTACTAGTCACTATGTGCCTGTCACTGAAAACTGAAACCCCACACAGCATTTGATCACTGGATCACTGGAGGAAGAAGTGTTTTCTCAACATTGCAACATTGCTTAATCAACTTCTGACAAACACATTAATTAATAGGCTATTTAAATTATTACTCAGTGAGACATTTAAATATGTCTTTGGCTTTTGTCTTTCAAACACATTAAAATGTACAATTTCATTTCATATGTACATGCAATGCAGTGTTAGCATATTATTAAAGGCCCACTGAAGTGCCTTGAAATGCACAGTGTGTTGACCTATAATTTCAACTGAAACAGGAAGACAGGGCGGGACATATCGAACAGCTCCTCCCCTTTTTATTAAAATAGCCAATAGTGTATAATCCCAGCTCAGCCAGAGCCATTGAGCTCTGTAAAGCCACAGTTTCCTCCTAATCTCCTCCATATCGCTTTTAAATAAAGCATTCTGTGTAGAATTCAAATGGGTCCGATACATTTTCTGGCCTGCGCTGACTCACGCATGATCCGCTCTGTGCTGTCGTGTCTCTGGACCAGAGCTGCGGCGGTTCGCCTGATACTAACATGAAACCAGACTTAATTTGCCCCAATGGAAATCATATTTACACCATCTGAATTGTTCCCTATCCCCAAGTGCACTATGTGCCATTCACCATGTAGAATATAGTAAATGTATGAAGAAGTGACTTTTAGCTGCAGCTTCAGCATCTATAATGTATGGGCCGGGAGGGACACTTTAGATTCTAGAGAGCATTTGATTGGACATAAATCTGATGAGTAGCTGAAGTGCAGAGTGATGTCATCAGCCTCTCATGTCTGCCAATATGGATCAATGATTTTAAGTTTTAAATGCTTATTTCTTCTAAATGTGCAAATTGTTTTGGAGCACACTTATAACAGTAAGGCATATTCATAACCATATTAGTTAGGCAAATTCATCCTTCGGATGAGACGTTAAACTGAGGCCCTGACTCTCTGTGGTCATTAAAAATCCCATGGCACTACTCGTAAAGAGTAGGGGTGTAACCCCGGTGTCCTGGCCACATTCCACCCATTGGCCCCTGCCAATCCTCCTAATCCCCATCCACTGAATTGGCTCTATCACTCTCTCTCCTCTCCACCTATAGCTGGTGTGTGGTGAGCGCACTGGCGCCGTTGTACTGTGGCTGACGTGCCGTCGCATCATCCAAGTGGATGCTGCACACTGGTGCTGGTTGAGGAGAGAACCCCTGATATGATTGTAAAGCGCTTTGGGTGTACAGTAGTACATATGAAAGCGCTATATAAATGCCTCATTCATAACATATTCACAATAAAAGCCCAATTTTTTATTTTTTTTATTTACTTCATTCATTTCATTTACTTTATGGGGACTAAAGTAGTAAGCTATAGTTTAAAATAGTATATTTAATTGCTTTTACTCATTGTAGCCTATATTTGGGTAGTTTACCATCGTCCGATAAAAAGTCGGCTACCTCGAAATACATTCCCTACATGTAAAACACAGTTTTATACAGTCTATGGTAAAAACTGAAAAAGCCAAGTGGCCTACTTTTAGTACACAAAGTAATGGTTGAACCCACGAGCGCCACTAGAGCGCGCCATTAACCATTTGGACCGTAGGAACTGATTTGGGGCGGAGGCTCTTGAGCACGTCATGCCTCCCATTTCTACGATCCTCTCACGCAACCAACGGCCATTTTACAAAGCCAGCATTTAGAGAGCCTGTTATCCACTCCTCGTCGGCATCTAAGCGTTAGTTTTGAATATAGTGCGCTATTTAGCCTAATCTATTACTCTCGAAAGGTTTTTTAACGGTTTTTCCTTCCCGCTTGTGAGAAAATGTCTCGTGACCGCTCCCGTAACCGTGGAGGATTCCAGCATCGAGGCCGCGGAGGAATGGGAATGGGAATGCGTGGTGGGATGGGAAACCCTAACTTTCGAAATCAAAACCAGCATCCTTATCAAAACCGAGGACACCATATGGGTGGTGGGTTTAAGCCGAATCAGGGAAACCAGCCCAACCAGGCCCCTATAACACCGAAGCCGCAGGAATCCAAGCCAGTGGTCCAGTCACCTCCAGCACAAGGCCCTGGTCTGGCCCAGCAAAGCAACAACAAAGGCCCTTCGCCTCAACAGACCGCCATCGCCGCTCCGCCGAAGATCCAGTCTCCGCCGCAGATCCAGTCTCCGCCGCAGATCCAGTCTCCACCGCCACAGAAGATCCAGTCTTCACCACAAATCCAGTCTCCACCGCCACAGAATAACGCGAAAACCCCAGATCTCGGTTCCCCACAGAACCAGATCAGAAAGAACCAGCCAAAAGGTGGAGTGGGGAATGGTCAAAAACAGCCTGTTCCCATGCAGAAAGAACCGGAAAAGATGCTACCACCGCAACAACAGAGTAACACGAGCAACGAAGGCTCTCAGCCTCAGGTAAAATAACTTAATTCTTGGATAAAACGTAAAATAACGTTAGTCGTTTTTATTGATAATTTGAGGGATTGGTGTACGTTAGATTTATAAATTTGTCGTTTTAAAACATTTTCAGTAGTGCGGGGTACAGAGTCAGATCCGCCATTTTGTAGACGTTGAAACAAAGGTTGGACTCATTACTGGTCCCCCGATGTTTCGGTCGCTCTGTCTGTATAAAGTGCATTAAGTGTGACTTTTTGACGTTTATTTCGCTTTACGAACGTTAAGAACGCGTTTTGCTATAATTTCGATGTTTTAGTGTGGCCTGACGTTAGTTGTTTGATAAATATAGGTCATGTTTGTGTTTGCATTGTAGATGAATACGTTCGCAAGCATTGTGAAGTAACATTTATTGATTTGCAATATGGCGCTCAAATTTAGCCCCACGATAGGTTTACCAGCAGATGTTGACTTTTATTGTGATTTTTTTTTTTTTTTTTTTTTTGGGATTTAGGAATTGAAGGCAACGCTATCTTTGCTGCGCAAGCCTGGGGAGAAAACCTACACTCAACGCTGCCGTCTGTTTATTGGGAACCTACCGAACGACATCACTGAAACCGAATTCAGGAAATTGTTTGCAAAGTATGGGGAACCCAGTGAGATTTTCATCAATCAAAGCAAAGGTTTTGGATTCATCAGGCTGGTGAGACTTATAACTAATTCCTTGTAGGTGTTAAGTAGCCTATTTTTAAATATGCCTAATTTAGTCTTTGTGTATTTTAAGGAATCCCGTGCTTTGGCAGAGGTTGCAAAAGCTGAGCTGGATGATATTCCGATGAAAGGCAGGCCTCTCAGAGTTCGTTTTGCCACTCATTCTGCTGCACTTTCTGTGCGCAACTTATCTCCATTTGTGTCCAATGAGCTGCTGGAGGAGGCCTTCTCTCAGTTTGGAGTGGTGGAGAGGGCTGTAGTTATCGTAGATGACCGTGGCCGCTCAACGGGGAAGGGCATTGTTGAGTTTTCTTCCAAACCAGCTGCACGGAAGGCTATTGATCGTATCAGTGATGGAGTGTTCCTTCTCACATCGTAAGTTATTATAATATGTACAATGACCATATGGTCTCATAAAATGATCATTCTTTTTACTGGATAGACTTGTAGAAAATATCTTTACATCATTTTATTATTTTTATAGGTCACCCCGTCCGATTGTGGTTGAATTGTTAGAGCAGTACGATGATGAGGATGGTTTGCCAGAGAAACTTGCACAGAAGAACCCCAGTTATCAGAAGTAAGTTCCAAAAAAAATCATGTTTATTTTACATTCTGTGACCAGATTCAAAGTCTCTTGTGATTAGTAGTTAATATGTTGTTTTGTGTTGTGGTCATAATAATATACGTTTGTTAATTGGCTTTGATTTGTCCTCAGAGAGCGAGATCAACCTCCTCGGTTTGCCCGTCCTGGCACCTTTGAGTTTGAATACTCACAGCGATGGAAGTCCCTTGATGAGATGGAGAAACAACAGAGGCAGCAAGTGGAAAAAAACATACGTGAGGCCCGTGAAAAGCTGGAAGGGGAGATGGAAGATGCCTATCATGAGCATCAAGCGAACATGCTCAGACAGGGTGAGTATTGTCTCTTGAGTCAGTGTATTTGTTTTTGGCATTTTTACTGCGTTTAAAAGAAAAATTAATTAAGATTATGGGATGAATGATTGTTTGTGTGGTATATTTTGTTTAAAGACCTTCTTAGACGTCAAGAGGAACTTCGTCGGATGGAAGAAATGCACAGTCAGGAGATGCAGAAACGTAAAGAGATGCAACTCAGGTATGTCTCATGTTGTGTATTGTGGTGCTGGAAACCCTTGCTGTGATAGTAGTTAACTGAGTAATTGTTGCCACCCACAGGCAGGAAGAGGAACGCCGTAGGAGAGAGGAGGAGATGATGCGGCAGAGGGAACTTGAAGAACAGATGAGGCGTAAACGTGAGGAGTCTTACAGAATGGGTGGCTTCATGGATAATGTAAGTAATGCAGTTAGAAAGCTCTTAGCATTTAAATGCCATATTTGTTGAAACCTTTTAAATAAAACCATTTCCTCCCTTTTTTTTTACAGAGAGAAAGGGAGATGAGAATGAATTCTAGTGGAGGCCTGGGGTTGGCTGGTAAGATGCATTCTAGATCTAAAAACTCATAAAATGAACATGCTGTTGTCTGCTGATATAATTCAAATATATATATATATATATATATATGTGGATAACAAGTGTAATAAACAATTCAATATTTTTAGCATTCCTCTGTGGTTCACTGTCTAAAAATTCAGTATTCCAACACTCCATTGTCTGTTAACCCTATAAAGCCTGTTGTATTGTAGGGCTGGGTTATCGTGTAAGTTTTTCATATCCGTCACGATCTATAATTATCAGGATCAATGTAAAGTCTTTTAAAGGCAGATTTTTGCTCTTATGTGAAAGTTGTACAAACCTGAAATTTGGTTTTAAACTACTCTTTGTCAGAACATGACAAACATCTCTCATTTTTGAATTCATTACACTTTTTTTCCAGTCATTTTTCCTTAACAAAATAAACATCTTAATAGAAAAATTAATTTCTTAGTTTTTGCATGTTATAACAGGTGATACGGTTTCAAATCATGACACATGTTGCCTGACTTTTACGTGCGTCTTCGGCACAGTTTGCAGTTCAGTCTGCAATATAAATAATACTACATGTTTTGTCTCTTAGAAATGCACATTTGGCAGAAGCTTGAGTTGACCGTAGTAGTGTGGTGGAAGTTAAGATTAAATTCAGGCCACTAGGGGTGTAACGGTACACAAAAATCACGGTTCGGTACGTACCTCGGTTTTAAAGTCACGGTTCGGTACGTTTTCCATACAGCAAAAAGTAAGAAATGCCAGAGAAATTTCCCATTTGTTAAAGGGATACTCCACTTTTTTGGAAATAGGCTCATTTTACAACTCCCCCAGAGTTAAACTGTTGAGTTTGACCGTTTTTGAATCCATTCAGCCGATCTCCGGTTCTGGCGGTACCACTTTTAGCATAGCTTAGCATACATCATTGAAGTGGACAAGACCATTAGCAGTTCTCAAACAAAAATCACCAAAGAGTTTAGATATTTTTCCTATTTAAAACTTGACTCTTCTGTAGTTACATCGTGCACTAAGACCGACGGAAGATGTAAAGTTGCGATTTTCTAGGCTGATATGGCTAGGAACTATACTCTCATTCCTGCGTAATAATCAAGAAACTTCACTGCCGCACCATGAGAGCAGCAGGCGTAATGATATGACACAGCGCCTGAAAATAGTTCCGTTGTGTTGACGGAAGGTGGCCTATTTTCAGGCGCTGCGTCATATCATTACGCCTGCTGCTCTTTGGTGATTTTTGTTTGAGAAATGCTAATGGTCTTGTCCACTTCAATGATGTATGCTAAGCTATGCTAAAAGTGGTACCGTCAGAACCGGAGATCGGCTGAATGGATTCAAAAACGGTAAAACTCAACAGTTTAACTCTGAGGGAGTTGTAAAATGAGCCTATTTCCAAAAAAAGTGGAGTATCCCTTTAAAAGAAAAAATATTTTTTAAATAAGTGTGAGTTTTCCTTCATCTTGAAACTTTCAGATTTATAAATGAACCATCTTTGAAGGATGAACAAATAATGTTTTGGTCATCACATTAAAAATAACATTTAAATATATGAAGAGTTTAGATGCAAAAGCCATTTGAAATTTTCTTCTAGAATGATCATTTTTATCAAGCTTGTATATTTAAGTTCAGTAATTTCACTTAAATGGCAATGAAGATTGCCTATTAATTGTCATTTGAGTGAAATTACTGAACTTAAATGTACAAGCTTCATAAAAATGATCATTCTAGAAGAAAATTTCAAATGGCACTTATAGAGGCTTTTGCATCTGAACTATTCATATAGGCTATTTATTTATATAATATTTGAGTTTTGAAGTGCTGGAAAAAGATGTGTGAAGTACTTGAAAGTATTTCACTATTCCAGCCAAACTGGTTACAGTTAGAGTTACTATATTAAATCCATGGTGAATGTTGCTGGTCTGTGGACGTAAAGTATTACTAGTTCATTCACGGCACAATGTTTCTCCTGGTGTCCACGTCAGCGCTGTTTGATCTAATAGAGATCTACGGTTAATAACGGAGAAATTTGAATGCTTCTCACTAGATCTCGCAGCGATGTTATTACTTCAGTGGCGAATTCAAATGTTTTCTTTACTGGATCTCTTAGCGCTGTGTTGTAACAGTGTCGCTTGATCGAGATCGGCTCGCGCTGCACAGATGTTGCTGCTCCGAACTGATAAACGATCCGTGAAGCACAATAGCGCAGTTTCGTTCCGCTTTCATTACGCTTGCCATTTGATGTTGCGCAACGTTGTGGTGGTCGCGCCAGCGCAAATTTTGTCGGCAGGAAAAATGGTCCAAGGAATCGTTCGGTTTGTATGCGTACCGAACCGGAAGCCTCGAACCGAAACGGTTCAATACGAATACATGTACCGTTACACCCCTACAGGCCACTCAATAGTAAAAATATTGAGCCAAATTTATTTCTGAAAATTGAAATTCAGGGTAGTCTCTCTTAAGCCGAAACATAACTAGAGAGCTCCAAGCAAAACAGTATTAATTCAGTCAAATCATACATATACATTTTTCATTGAACAAAGACTTTCAAAGTTGATTGGATAAACAAATGAGCAGATTATCATAGGGCCTCCTACTTTTATCATATAAGTAAATTTTCTGGTTCATCGACATCCCATAATATGCATACCCACCGGATGTTCGTGAAGATAATCTCACCTGACTCACTAAACTCATTATTCCCAAGTTGCTTCTCACAGCATTTGTTGATTAGCTTTAAAAAATGGCTCACAGAGAGAGAGAAACACAAAAGGCAATATATCTGAGTTTTTCTCCTAGTGTATGACAGAGAGAGTGGCCCAATGCTCAGTAATAAAATTAAAAAGGGTGAAATATATATAATCTCCATGCTCATCAATCAAAACCTAGCCCTTACATGTACGGCATAACCTCCATTGGGAAGCAACCTGCTTAAAACCTTCGGTTTGTCACCTTACATTCCTAATTGGTTAACACTCTTTTGAAACCATTACTTTTGTCCTTCACTACTCCCTCTTTCAGAAACATGTTTAAAAAAAACAATAATGGTAGAAAATCTGTTTTCAATACATGCAATGGTTACACACACCTGTCAAAAAACAAATTACATTTTCTCATTATTAAAAAGGTATGCAAGTATCATTTAAGGAAACCTGTGTAACTCATGTAAGATTAACAAAATTGATCATGAATAAGCAGCAGCATAGAATAGACAGCAACAACTGCAGATAAAATGGTTTAATATTGGCCAAATGACATTTTAATTCAAATGTTTACCTAATCTTTAATATTTGGCCACTTTATGATAGAAATGCTACAACCACTGTAATGTCTTAAACAAGTAAGCTGTGGACATTCAAACTCAGAGCAAGGTTTTAAGCTTACTTTAAAATCACGATGAACAACAGTTCACATATTTATAAACACTTACATATTCTCCTGTGTTGATTTTCCTTGCAAATCTGGTGAAATGGTGAATTTTGCGTTCCCAAAAGAACATTTTAAAGGGTTAGTTAACCCCAAAATGAAAATTCTGTCAGTATTACTCACCCTCATGTTGTTCCAACCCCGTAAGACTTTCGTTCATCTTCGGAACACAAATCAAGATATCTTTGATTAAATCTGAGAGCTGGATCACTCCTCCATAGGCTTCTTAAGGGATCGAAACTGGCCGGCCCAAAAGTTAAAGACATCGTTAAAATAGTCCAAGGGACTACACTGACTCAATCTTAAGTTTATCAAGCGACGAGAATACTTTGTCCGCAAAAAACAAACAAAAATAACGACTTTATTCAACTATTCATTTCCTTCTCTGTTGGCCTCGAGATTTTACGTAGTGATATTTAGGGATGGAAATTAGGCCATCCTTAAAAATATTTTGGTTTGCAGTAACAGCAATAAAAAAAAAAAAAAAGGGTCGGTAGGTCTATATATTTTTTTTTTCAAGATTCAATGTAAAAAAAAAAAGGATAATTTTGGTCATGGTGATTACGTCGGTATGAATCTAAACAAATTTACATATCGTGACGTCACTGACTGGGTCTTCAACCCATGCCTTCGGGCCCACCATTGCGAACCTCATTCTGATACAGGTTATAGACCACAAACAATTTGAAATCTTTGTCAAAAAAACATATTTATTGCATTAATTCCAGCTGCATTCATTTGGAAAAAAAAATAGGCTGAATCAAAAAAAGAAGAAAAAAAAGGAGCCACTAGATTTCCATGAAAGTGGATTTTCAGAGGGAAACAAATAAATTAAAATGACTAATCTCACCAGCGCCACGCCGACCAATAAAACAGCGCGTTTGGCACCATTCGTTTACATTTGACCCATACTATTACAAGCCCCCTTTCTGGTCTAGGGGCAGGAAAGGAGGGTAACAAAAAGTTGCAGGGTGAGAGATTTGACCCATAAACATCTGCTATTAACGGAAATCAGTGAGGTCAAATGGCTAGGCGCATTGTAGAAACTATAGGCCTATTAAGTAGTCCTGACATATTATGGAATGGTCGATTTTCTTTTGTGCTATTTAGTACATTTCGGTATGGGATGTGCTGTTTTATTGGTCAGCGCGGCGCTGGTGAGATTAGTTTGCGCCGCGCTGACCATTGGCTGGTGCAAGCAAACACTTCTCTCTGCGCTGTCGAGTCTGTCGCGGCTCGGTCCATTGAGCCACGCAGATTACAAGTCAGCGCAGCGCGAACTCTGTAACACCGTGCCGTTTGTCCCACTTTCGGTGTGTTTGGCTTCCCACTCTTATGTGTGTTTGTTTGTCAGAGCCTGCAGTTGCTGTGTGACGCGCGTTCGCGGTGGGCATATCATGACGAGCTGGACGCGCTCCGAGAAAAGGCCGTTAACATCGATTCCCTATTCTCCTATTTGACCATTAAGAATTTCGAATAATGAGCGACTAAATGTAGGCTCATATACAGACGTATTTCACAAGCAGCCGCGCCGCAGCCATCATCACCGAGCGCGAACCATTGACATTGAATGAAACGAAGCGAACGCACAGGCCATGTGACATGCATAAACCAATGGTGTAAACATAATCATAATAGATGACGCCACGGGGTTTTATTTAAAAGAAAGAACATAGCCTACGCAATTTATATTCACAATACTTACTATAATATAATTTATATTATTTTATTGCATTTGTGTTAGTTGTTTGAAGAGTAAAAAAAAATCGGTCGGTCTTAATGCAAGTTTACAACCGGCAAGTCGGTCGGACTAAAAGGGGAAAAAAATAAATAATTGGGTCGGTCCTAATTCGACAGGGTCGGTCGGGTTACGGCAAACAAGAATATTTTTAAGGATGGCCTTAGCACCAGCCAAATGCTGGTGATTTTGTGTTGTGGCTGGTAAACTCGCTTCACCTACCAGCCAACGTGGCGGGTAAATAAAAGTAGCATGCTGTTTCACCCGGACAGTTTTAGAGGAGGCACACCTTGAGACTTTACCCTATGGAATAAACGGCTTAAATATTGTAGATCTTGTAGTATTTAATTTTTTACACATTGTCATAGTGCTTGGTGGTAAACCGGTTCAAACCGAAAACCGGTTTATATTTTCATTACGATATTGATTTTTAATAAACCGCCATACCGGTGTATTTAATTACAACGGCGGAACGAACGTTACGCGACACTGTTTCAGACGGACCCTTTACAATGTTGCACTTCTAAGCAGCGACTGCGATGCGAGGGTAAACCATAGACAGTAAAAGTAAACAGCAGTGCTCTGGTGTTCCGTTACAGGGAAGATGGATGCTGCAGAACTAGCATAAAACTTCAAATAAAAGCCTGGGCTTTTATTTTCCCAAAGGCGTCTATATGAGACAGGCCTTTATAATTTAGTGTTGAGATGTTGTTCTTTGAGTGTAGGCCTAGTGTCTCCAATCTCTAAAAATCTCCACGTGAAACTGTGGGGAGAGAGAGCAAGACAGCGCTCATGTTGTTTGAAGACGTTAGAGTGCGCGTGCGCGGCCGGAGCGCTCTCTCTTTCTCTGCTCGTTATGCGCCCTGTCAAGCGCAGCAGTCATTCTATTCTCCAACACTCACCGATCAAAAAAAGGCTTTGTCATAGTGCTTGGTGGTAAACCGGTTCAAACCGAAAACCGGTTTATATTTTCATTACGCTTTGACAAAATTTGCTTTGGCCACTGCCAAAAAGCGGACGATTTGACGGGTTTTATTATATTAAATACAACCCGAAACTAAAAAGTTCTGTATTTTGACTGCAATTGTCTTTGGATTCTGATTCCTCACTTCATTAGAATCATGACTGCCTCTTATTTGTAAACAACAGCATAATTTTCTAGGGCCATGCAAACCTATATCACTATAGGTGTGGAATTGTTCTACAATATTCACTAATGACAGTAAAATAGACTATCCTAAGTCAATTTACTGCAGTAATTCCTCTCTCAACCAGTAGAAAATGCTTTGAACACCTGATTATGCATTCTAAAAAAAAACTGTCATAAACCAGAAAACTGGCATAATAAAAAAAAATAAAAAAAATGATATAAATTTGTCAAACCGCCCAGCACTACATTGTCAGTTAAAAACAAGAAAGTGGCTGGTAAAACTTTGAGTGGCTGGTAGATTGTGGAATCCACCAGCCACAGTGGCAGGTGGACAAAAAAGTTAATTTCCATCCCTGGATATTGCGCAAAGCTTCTTGGTTGTACGTCTGTGGAATGGTATTTCCGGTATTTTTACTCGACACTGGTAAATTGCATTGGAGGATTTTTTTAAATTGAATACTTGACTTTAATTGTGGAATCGTGACAGCATTATTATTAAAATTAACCATTGGTCTTCCATAGTACCATACATTTAGGTCATAACCACAGTTAAAACCATGCATATTGCACCTCAGTATATATGATGATATATTTTATACTAGGACTGGGTAAAATATTGATTTTCTAAATTTTAATCTATTCTCATTTTTATGAACCGATATCAATTCTTGGGATTCAAGAATCGATCTTCAGTCTATGCTGGTTTCAGTTGATAAATGATCAGAACATTGTAGCACGCCTCACATCAAATCTCAATACTGTTACTTTTTATATGAAAGTCTTATTTATTGTTTGAAAATTCATACAATTTATAACTGATAACTTCCAAATTATCAGCATGATCAAAACGTTGCCGAAAAACCTGTTGCACAATCTACCACATGCCTTCCCTATTGATATTTATTTTTTATTTAATTGATAGATATTTACCTTCAGGTTGTGGAACTTAAACCTAAATTGCTGTGAGATCTTTGCATGCTTTTAAGGGTTAATGAAACTAATGTATGCCTTTTTAAAAATATAAACAGATATGCCGTTTGGGTCACCTGGCCAGAAGTTCCCATTGGCAGGAATGAATTTTGAAGGACACCAAGGAATGGGGGGATCTGCACCAGGGGGCATGGCGTCCAACGAAATGGTAATGTATTACTGAGTTGAAAGCTGGAGTGAATGTGGCGGGAGTATGTGCGTGTATTGAATGCTTGCTAATCTTTGAGTTGAGCTATTGTGGTTCATAGGAACTGAGGCCATTTTGTGTTTGAAGGTTTACAAGTTAGGTGTGGATGGATTATTTGTAGACCCGTCAGTGGGAAGTGTGTTTTTGATCCCTTTTGTGATTTTTATTAGTCCCTCCATCTAGTGGCAGAAGTTGTCAGCACTCAAGCTCAGCTCCCCTCACAGGTTGCTTCTCTTGTTGCTTTTGCAAGTCTGTCTGCACTAAGGCCCATGAATTTTTATACACCTGCTTGCAACATGTACTTGTAAGTCCTGTCTAAATTGCAAATAAAGACAGGCATGTTTGCGCTCTGTTTGATGTGTAGCCTTTGAATTAGCAATGTGCCATCTTTTCAAACACAAGTCCTGGTCGGTGAAACCGTATGTGGTGAAACAATACCCTATAAAATGCTGTGCCTGTTTTTGTGGTGAAATACTTTTGTAGGTTTTTTTTTATTATTATTATTTTTTTAACTGTTGCAAATCCATGTCAGTGCTGCGATGGTAATCGCATGGAAATGCTATTTCCATGCTTGGAGCTCTTTTTTTGTCATTTTGAGAGACTGGGCATTTAGTGCAGATAAACTTGAGCAACTTAATCACAAAATGAAGATGAAATTAAGTTATAGTGACTGTGGCTGAGCTTTTGAGTAGCTGGTTGGAGGTGTCCTGGTTGGCAATTCATTGGATGGTGAGATTGGAGTTGGGTTTGACCCACATTTGCTGTAAAGTAAATAGATAAGGTGTCTGCTTAAACACGATGGCACACATTCTTTAATTGTCAAGAAATAATTCAGTTTTTTTCTGGTGTGCTTTGGATATTTCTACTATTTCAATTCAAGAGTTTAAGCATTTAGGTCTCGAAACAAGTACAACAGCAGTTTGTATTATGTAGCTACTAGCTACACTATGAAACTTACCATTTAAACCTTTTAAGACCATAATTTAGGGGTGTGCGATATTGACAAAATATCTCAATATTTTTTGGGATTTTGCTAATAATGACTTTGCTTAGTGTGTTGTGCTGGTACCTTGGCAGATTTAGGACGGCCATGGACTGCTGAGTCCTAAAGTGTTTGTTATTTTTCATGTTCTGTGCAGTGGTCCGTTCGCAGAAGTGACAGAAATAAAAAAAAAATCATATAAGCTTAATTTGAATTTTTCAATATCTTAATTTTTACCTTTTTATGAGGGCAATTTTTCTTACCAAATTAAATGTAGCCAATGCATCATTTGTCAAATATTACATTTGATCAATATTCAATTAGAATTAGACACTATTGGACCCTATCAAATAAACTAGGTTATCAAATGAACTTGGTATCAACTAAATCCCTCTTTGCAATGCAAAGGAAATGCAGAAGTTGCGTCTGAAGTGGCATTTAGATGTATTTACACAGACTGTTAAATGCTGTTCAGGGATGACAAATGCACTTAACCTACAGTTGCAACTGCAAAAATGTTGTTTTAAAAATGAAACCTTGATATGAAATGATTTTCAAATTGAATAGATACTTTAAATATGAAACTAAATCACCAGTAGGTGGTGGGAACACTGCATTGAGATCTAGTGAGAAGCATTCACATTTCTCCTTTATTAACGGACCAAACAGCGCTGACGTGGAAACCAGGAGAAACATTGTGCCATGAATGAAATGGTTATGTTTTAAGTCCACAGATCAGCAACATCCACCATGGATTTAATGTAGTAACACTAACTTGTACCCATGTAAGTTTGGCAAAAATAGTAAAATGCTTTCAAGTACGTCACGCATCTTTTTCCAGCACTTCAAAACTCAAATATTATCATATTTAAATGTTATTTTAAATGTGATCACCAAAACATTATTTGTTCATCCTTCAAAGATATACCCCCATTTATAAAACTAAAAGTTTCAAGATGTAGGAAAACTCACACCTATTTAAAAATATTTTTTCTTTTAATAAATAGGAAATTTCTCTGGCATTTCTTTCTTTTTGCTTTATCGAAAACGTACCGAACCGTGACACCGCTGTATCGAACCGAACCGTGAATTTTGTGAACTGTTACACCCCTAGGCAGGGTTCCAGACTGCGACCATTTTTTGAGAATGTGCGAGTTAAAATGTTATGTGGTCGCATTTGTGCGAGTGGACGCTTGAGCAACAGAACGCCGTTGTATCAGCTGCTGCAGTCCGTAACTTATGTTCAAAATGAACGAGTAGGCTACATCATGAATCCATTTTCCAAACTGTGTTTTTGACTTATTCTGAATCACTACGGTACGCCTATAATAAGTGTTTATATTCTGACTATTTTATCCCGGGGTCGTCTCGGCTGCGGAGTAGCCCAGTGCCTGCGTGACTCGCCATAGACATTAACGGAGAGAAGTTCCGTCTACAATGTTCTTCCGCAAGACACTTGCAGTTTATTTATTGACGAACGTAGACGTCACGCGCATTGCACACTGATGGTGAAACGCGCCAATTACGAATTCACGAATTAAGGCATATAAAAATGGTCTCACGAAGGAGTCCCTTCCTCCTACGTCTTTTCAGCGGTTATATTTTCCTCTGTCGAGCGATTACTCATGATCGCTCGACAGAGGAAAAGGAAATTATTATAAAATGCAGAAGGTAAGGAGTGTGAGATTTCTGCTTTTTGTTACAACTATAAACTTTGATAATGAAAAATCTGTATCAGTTTATTATAATACTCTAATCTTTTAAAATGTAATGCATACATTTGAATGTTTAATGATTTTTAAAAGATAGAAAGATGATAATAGACAGATAGATAGAATATGATTCAAATGTAAATAGATAGATTGTATATAATTCAAATGTAAAATGCTTAAAATTACAGATTAAAATTACTGTCCAAAATCCTGAAATTTGACAATGATAATTAATATATTACAGGTATTTCTGCTGCAACCCAGAAAGCCTTTGCTAGCCTTGGTCCATTTAAAACCACTATTCATCAGCTCAGCATGCATTGATTAATCCCAGGGCATGTAGCAAAAAAAAAACAAAGTGCGACCAAATCATATGCTGGTGCGACCAACTGAGAAAGTTGGTAGCACCAGTGCAACCAGTGGAAAAGTTAGTCTGGAGCCCTGCCCCTAGGTATAAATAAAGCCTAAGACAAATACTCAATACATGGGGATTTTACGGCATTTTAATAGTGTAAGTCACGCAGTGAGTGTGCTCTCTAGCCATGTTTTTGTTTGGTTTTTGTAAAGTGAGGGACATACTCAATGTCACATTGCACATTGTTAAAACAACAATTACTATATTATCGTAGATGATATATCGCACACCCCTATGATGCATATTATCACAGACCTGTGAATTTCTATTACATTTTTACTTGCCCAAGCTTTTGCTGAGAAGCTCTGTGTTGCAGGAAAGTAATTCAGCAGGAAGGCCAGTGCTTTACAAATTGTTGGATTGTTGAGCTGGTTGCCTGTGTGCTACTTTCACCTCAGTATTTTTATAGCTGAACCTTTTGATTTCCCCAGTTAACAGGCAGTGTTGCTAGAAATGGGGGAATTGGGGTTTCCGTCCGATATGATTCAGCAAGTAGGAATAAAATATCTCCACATTTCAAAGAGGCATTTAAGGAGTAGAATCTGTAAGTGAAACCTTATGAGCATGATCTCATCCTGACCTGTTGTCAGATATAAAACTCGCTAGTGGTTTCATTTGAACATAAGTGGAACTCACCCCTGGAATTTGCGATTAGCAAAGCAGAAAGAGGCTTTATTCTGTATTGAAACTGTATGATCTTTTTAAGTGTCACTCTGAAGGCAAGTATTTTGTCTTAAAATGTTTAGTTGTATACCTGAATGAACTTTTAGTAGGTAAGAATCTCATATTTTTAACTTTTAAAGTCAACATGAAATCAAAATGGACCCCATGTACTTTCTTCAATGCAAGTTACTGTTTTTGTGCTTTTTTATTTTAAAAAATGTTATAACTTGCTCCACCTCAAACTATTTTCTTTGTTGGCTGATTTCACCAACACCACCTAAATTTAGGTCTATGAGTGCTGGTTGTGTTTAAAGAGAAGAATAGGCCTAGTCCTCAACTCGCCTTCAAGTCCTGCCTTAGAATATATATTTTTTTTCTATGTTAAATATTGTTTGGCTTGGAAATGTTGCTTTACAGAACAAAAATGGTTTGCAATTAGTTTCATGTTGACTTTAAGCGGTCAACCATTTTTGAAGAAAAAAAACTCGCAACAAATGGTTATAGTGGCAGTTCTTTTCGCAGATTGGCAATGTTTAATATAAAACTTTAACAACCTTATGCTTTCACAGTATTAAAAGAATTATGATAATCTGAAATCTGTAACATTTCGATTCACTGCATTACTTTTTGTTACCGGTAGTCTCCATGAGCTGAACTTTTCAGTTGAACTTTGAAAAAAAGATCAAATAGGAAAATGCTGATTGCTCATTCAGGCACTGCCTCTATTTCATCCAATTAACTATCACACTGCATGTTCTGACAAGTGTCTTAGCCTATATCTGATGAACATCATAATTACAATAAATTTAAGAAAAATGTCTAAAATTGATCAGTGATGGCTAAATAGTTAGCAAAAATAGCATTTAAAAAAAAATCTGAAATCAGATCTCTTTGAATGTAAAAACCACTTTTTCAAATGTGATTTGTATAATAAAGTAAAACTACTCATAAATACTTAACGCATATGTTCAGAACTTAATTTTCAAAAAGATTTACAATCATTTTGATTAAATATAATTTTCTATTCATAATGTAAGAATTTGTAATTGCCCATTGGGCTAGGAGGGTTTTTGTCTAATAATGAAGTACAAACCCCTTTGCCATAATCGTAAGTTTAGGGCATCCAACAGTAAGCTCAACTTTGAGACAATTCTGCCTCGATCTAATATTTGAATCCTGCAGTTTTTTTTTTTATCTTAGCAGCGCTATTGGAATGCAATGTAATGGTATTTGACTAATGAATACATTACCCTCTCTTCCTTTTCCTATGTCACCTCTGGCACCTGTGGATCTGCGTGTTGGAACTGTTTCGCCGATTGTTTTCCTTGGATCCCACTTAAATAATACTTTTGCTCAAAATATGAACTCATGGAACTCGTTACCCTTTATTGCTTTTCTCCCATTCCCATGGATGTAAACTCCATAATTTCTACAAAACTAAATCCCCAACTGATACATAACTGAAAACGGTCCGTGTAGCGCAATGAGCGTTTCCCACAAGGTGGGCCTGGTGGTCCAAGGGGCATGGGTGCTGGAAACCCAGGATTTGGCAGGGTCCGTGAGGAATATGATGGAGCTGCCAAGAAGCCTCGCTTCTGATCTGGCACTTTAAAAGCAAAGTTTGTATGTGGAATTCCAGAGGCTCAGTTCTGGAGTCACAATTGATGTATTTAAGTTTAAAGAATTTTCTTGCAATTTTAGCCTGAAAACTCATCCCATTTGTGGCAAGATCTTTTCGTCCTATTTTTATTTTGTATTCTTAATAGGTTAAATAAAACCATTGAAGTCAGCGCTGGCTTAGTGCTGCTAACATGTAATCCACTTTCTAATTAGTCTTTATCTTGTCATGTTACTTGTGTTATGCTGGTGAATATTGTAAATTTGTTCTGATCTTTCAATGGCTGTGTTCTGTGCCATTCACATTTAAAATACTACATGTACATTTTTCAATAAAGAGTGCAGTTGGTTCTCCCAAACCCCATTCAGGTGTTGTTGGCACAATGTTTAATTTTGTGATGTGTCAGGCATCTAACACCTGACACATCATACACCTATAGGCATCTAGGACATTTTCTTCATCTTAAAGGTTGTTGCTTGGAGTTGTACTTAATGAAACCTTTAGGGCTGCCCCCGACTAAAGATTTTTCTAATCGACTAGTATTCGTTCATTGAGGCATTGGTTGACTAATCTGGCTTTTATATTAATTTGAGTATATACTGAGCATTTAATATATGGACGTAATATATTACCTATTCTATTCCGTGCTCATAGCAACGAGACATTTTAATTTATTAATAAACTAGTGTGTTCTAAGTCCGTGTCATCTGTAAAGATGAGGTTGACTATGCTGACTCGCCATCTCTGCAGTTTAGTGGCTGGATGCGCCTTTAGAGAGAAATGCACCTTTCATATAGATTATGTTTCAGAGTATTTGTTTTAAATTTGAATTGGCTCATTTCAAAGTAGACATTTCAAGCTTTCTATAGATATATTTCTCATGTCTGTGATGCAAGTAGCCTATATACTGAGTTTCGGTTTATTTTTGTGACGCGCTCCAGTTCGCGGAAACCGAGAGGGCAGAAAGCACATCATGTTTGTTTTCTTTATTTTAAAAAGGCACGACGTTTTGTTAAGTAGACTCTTACAGTTTTGATATTTTACTCTTATCTGTATGACCAAAAATGGTGTTAAGTTTCCCTGATAAAGGCATGCAGTAAGCGCCATAATACTTGAGCTTTCACACTCCGCACAAGCACTTGGATACGCGGTTAATAGCGCACGTTTATCTAGGTTAACGTTAGAGTGAGCAACCATGTAAAGTAGCTACTACTTGCATGTTTCAAATGCCATATTTGAGGTTGATGGATGATGGGCAAACCTTTGGATTACCACAAGCACCCACAGTTAACGATCTGTCCCTCACGGACTTCGCCACTTTTTTTGTGTTTTTTTTGGCTAACAGATTAATACAATTTGTCGACTATTAGGGGGCAGCCCTAGATATTTTTATATTAGTTAAAAGTTTAGATTTAGCATTGCCATTGTACAACTTGGCTATTAAGTTAAATATGGATTGCTGGTGTGGTATCAATTTACTTTTCTTTTATTGTTTGGAATTATAGTTTAAACAAGATGACTTGGTTTCATTTCAAATTAGACCCCAGTTCTACAGCAAGAACACACATTGCATTGATTTCAATCATAAATTATAGTAAAAAATTAAATGACAAAACAGGTTAACTGTGGATCGTAATCGCAGAAAAAAGTATTCTACTAATCTATTTTATAGTAAGTTTTTTTTTTTCTCTCTCTCTCTTAAGTTTATACTGGCAAACCAGTAGTTTGAGGTTGTTTTTTTTTTTTTTGCTGCCACCTATAGTTTAGTTGGATCATTGGCACCAAGTGGTATTGAGGAAAAAACTACTTCAAACATTTTTCCAGTGTACTCCCACCATCATCTTCCAATGGTTGGATAAACCCACCCCAAACTCACCATTGGTTAAGCTGTGGACCAGTTGGAATGCTTATACTGATCAATGTTTTGATATAACCATAGTGATTGCTGTTTTGGGACATCACCATTTTACTGTCTTTTTTATAAATATATAAAATGTCATGGACATACAACATTTTGGCTCTTGACAGAATCCTTGGAAACTTGAATGGAAATATTCTGATTAATATTTGTTGCACTTCAATTTCTTTGCGAAAGAATGGGAAAACATTGATTAAATTTACTTTTTGGAACAAATCATTAATGCCTGCCATGTGCGGGACTGCGGACGGTTGATTCACAAGCAATGCCTGTTAAGTTTTATGAAACCAAAAGGGATTGGAAAAGCAAACTAATCCGAGTTTGTTCTTGGATGGCAATCTTGACTTTCACAAACATTACAAATCTGATTTTGTTTACATGATTTACAAGTATCCATTTAAAAAGTATACTGCTGTCATTATAGGTTAATTACTCAAACTATAACATTATATTTGACATGATCTTGTTAGGTCTGGGTGTTGTATAGACTTTGTAAGGTATATAGATATATTTTCACAAAAAGTCTTACGTGACAAGACGTTACCATTTATTCCCAGAGTGAGCTGCTGTGGGAAAGTGCAAGATCCAATTTGTCTTCAAAATGAAACATGCTTCATATTAAGTTGCTCTGATGTTCGAGATGTTTTCCTCACTACATGACTTGCGTTTCGCGGGTATATTCTCAGCTGGAAATGTTAGAAAGTTACACAAGTATTTCTGTTTTGCATTAAGGCTTATCCTGACAGCAAGAAAGTCTTCACTAAACTTCTCTGAACGAGCACCGGTGTGTGTGCACGAATGTCCAACAGATTGCTTGCAATAATTCTGAAATATTTTAGATACATTTTACAAAGATATTTTTTAGACTCTTTAAAGTTGTACATATGGTACAGGCAAGTAGTAACTGTTAAGGGACTATTGTACTAGATACAACAAATGTATTATAATTACTATAAGATGAGAATGTTCCTTTCAACCGCTTGCCAATTAACATTAGTCTGTGCTTTTGTTTTATTTTATTTTTTAATTAGATTAACCTTTATTTGATTTTAATTACTTTAAAATATAAATATTACGTTCTAAAATTGCTTCTTAAACTTATTTTGCACAATTTACAGCCTAGCCTACATGGATTCATCCACTGTATGTTTTCATAGCCTTCAATTTGCACATTGTTTGGAGAACAACATTTTGCAGGATATGAAATAGCTTATTTTTATATATATAAAAAAAAAAAAATCACCCAGCACTAGTTATTATACTAGTAGAACTAGTAAAAGTCGACTATTTGTGCAGTGGTTACAGGGACACACATACTTGTTCACCAAGTAGCATGTTACTTGTTGTGATTTTTAATTTCTACCATTTTATCCTTTTCTAGTTAGGATGGATGACTCAAAATAAAATCTTCAAAATACTGCTACTTATCTATTCTTGAAAGCACAGTTTAAATGGTTAAATTTAGCTTGTGTAGTATCCACAGCACCACCTCAATGTTTCAGTGGATTGTATTACGTTTTGCCAGTCAAACCAAAATCAATTTGCATAGTTGGTAGCATTTTTCAATGTGCCAAGACAACGAAATTGCTTGCTTTGCTTTACCCTTCATGTCTTTGTATGATTTGAGAGGTGCTGCATAAAATGTTATTTCTGTAAATTTGCAACACCTTAATGGCAACCATTAGTAAGCATTGGAGTAAGACCCAATTGCAGATTAGCTTGTTAACGATTAGAAAAAAAACAAAAATGATTTGAAGAATAATGCAAACTACAAATCAAAATAAACAAGAAGCAAGGCTTGTGTTGGAGGAAACACTGTTTCTAGAAATAGTTTACACCTTTTTTAACTTTGTAAAACTCTCTAGGTCAGTTAGACAATAAAAGTTAATAATTCTCTATTAGAATAATTATAACGGTGCATTTTTTCAGATTAAAGCTTGACTTCTATATTGTAATATCATTGATTAATTTAAAATTTATATATTTTTTTTGGAAAAACACATTGGGATTAACATCCCACCAAGCCGTTATTTTGGAATGAGTGATATACCAATTTAAATTGTCTGTCTTCTCCAAGTAACTGTTAACACTGTCAAGCTTTTCTTCTAACACATGTTCTGCTGCTGTCAAAGCTGGAGACAGAAGCAATTAATTTGACAATTATCTTACTATTAAATTTATATCTAGAAGTTATTAATGTAATTGCTAAATTCATTTAATTTCACTTTGCATGATATGACACCTATATATTGGGCATTTGTTAAATGGACCAGATTTCTGTGTGTAAAAGGTCCTTATTCCTGACCCATGCCATTGGTCATTTACAAGTCACTCTATTTTGCTATTGCCGTTTGGAGCGAGGGCACAGCTACCAATTAGCTTGCTTACTTCTACATTGTTCATTTAAAAAAAAAAGGTAATGGTAGTTTAATTTATACAAATATTTCTTAATTTGAATGACACGTGCAATATGATTTGACATTATTCTGTAACTCTATTTTGATATTGGAGCAAGGACACCGCTACCAATTAGCTTGATTTCTTCTACATTCTTCATTTCCTTCTACATTTAAAAAAAATTAATGGTACTATAATTATTAAAACAAATATTTCTTAATTTGAACGCCATGTGCAATATGAGATGACATTTTGTTGCTAGTGAACATTTTAATGTAACATTTTGTATTTAAATCACATGGCTTATGTAATTACGGTAATTTTAACATCAAGAATGGAGCTGGAAAAAGGTAACTTCACTTACAGATTTTACAAGATACATTGTGGTAAAATGTATTGTCTATTGTGTTGGTTTTCTACACATTTTTTTCCTTAACAGGTTTGTTCGTGACTTCCGAAGTATCTTCGAGTTTGGAACTCTTTTGGATTTTAGCCATTTATCCACCATTAATCTAAGCCTCATACGGCATGCCCATGGACTGTTCACCAGCTGTCTAATGCATAATGCTCACAAAATGGCTGGAGATTTTTCAGAACACCAGGCTCTAGTCTGATTGGCTGGCTTTTTAATTTTCAGGATGCTTAGGATTTTGTCAGTCTACCTGGAAATATTTACGATTTCCCAAGCTTCTTCAATGAGCACTTCAAGGGAAGAACTAGTCGCTGGATTTGCCAAAGATTGAGGTTCGAGGCATTAAAACTTCAAGAGCTTTGTTCAAGACACTTGGTAGCAAGTACACAAGTCATCATTGACCACACCACAATATGTTACGTCTTGTTCTTAGAGTTTTATCTCATAAGCACCATGTGTTAAAACAGACCATGCTTGGTCAGTTTGTCACCTCTTTTGCTCTAGGTCATCTGTTTTTGGGCAGAATGAATATGTGAGCCTAATCCACTACAAAATATGACATTATGGTATGTAACCATTTATTTATCATTGACCAAATCCATGTTGGCTTGTTTGTCCTATTTGGAACAACCAAGT